CCCAAAAGGTGTGTACAGCAAGGATGATTGTGGTAAACTAAAAAGCAAAGACTAATATCATACAAGACGCTCCAAGCAAAACACATATCATGTGGTGAATAAAAATATAGCTCCAAGTAAAGTTATTGATAGACGAAGACGAAAGAGGGGATGCCTTCCGAGGCATCAGCAAGCTTAGGATTTTGGCTATTCTTGAATATCTTGGGGTGCCTTGGTAATCCCCAAGCTTAGGCTCTTGCCACTCCTTATTCCATAGTCCATCAAATCTTTACCCAAAACATGAAAACTTCACAACACAAAACTCAACAAGAAATCTCATAAGCTCCGTACATACTAGGAGCGCTTAGCTAGAGCATTGCTAGTAGACTGTTACCAGCGGCGGCGTACAAGCAGTGTGTAAGCCGGAGACAACTAGTTGGGTATAGCAAACACACCTAATAAGGGGGTCTAGTTCTAGTGAATCTTACATCAAATCCTCTGTGTGGCATCATGCCAACCACAAGCTTTCCTTCAAGTTCTGCAGCCCATGCACCATCTCCGCGTGCGTTGCCGTGGTGGTGTACAAGTTTTTTTAGAACAAAGACACAAGAAGCGTCTGACATTAAACTAATAAAGCCCACATCATGCCTAGAGTCATACAAAAAGTGCAATACAACATCAGACCAGGAACAAATCTAGATCAGATAGAACGATATGGAGGGTCAACTATCCCTAATCCTCAAAAGAGTGTGCAGGCTCAAAAGGAACCGACAGGGAATCTAACGGGCGGGGACGGCTGCCAAGCGATGACTTGAATGTTTCTGATTTTCTCTATCGCTTATTGCATGTTCTCAGCATCCAGTGTCTACCTAGAGGCACCCATTGATGTAGAAAAAGGTGGCATTTCAAAATACAAAAACTAGGTGAGAAGGGAAGCACTTCTCAATGGTAATTTTTCTCCTAATAGACCATAAAGCCCATAAAAGCACCCCTAATGCAATGCCAAAGAACCTTGCCGAAAGGGCCTCTGTGCGCCTTTAGAACGCTGAGCAGATCAACACCCGAGGAAGGGTTCTAGATATGATCGAAAGCCTCTCGCACAGCATGCCACACAAAACGTGCTATGTGACAATGGAAGAAAATTTGTTTAGCATCTTCAGCGTTTCTGCATATGGCGCAAGTACCATCAGAAGCATGTCTCTTAGCCATGTTATTGGGCGTGGGAATACGGTTCTGAAACATTTGCCAAAGGGAAAACATTAATTTTGAGATGCAGACCAGCTTTCCAAAGCCCCATGGCTATCACTGGGAATTGACCCGAAGCCGAGAGTAGGGTGTGTATCGTGGAAAGTTATGACACAACCAAAAGGTATGGGTGGCCCGGGCTTTAAAGATTTTGAGTTATTTAACTTGTCTCTGCTACCTAGGCAAGCATGGCGTCTCTTGCAACAACCTGGAAGTCTGAGTTCCAGGGTTCTGAGGAGCATTTATTATCCAGACTCGTCTATTTTGCATGCAAGCCTTGGTAGTCATCCTAGTCAAATTTGGAGATCCATCATCGAAGGTATGGTTGTTTTGAAACAAGGTCTAATTAGAAGAATTGACCATGGTTCAACAACAAATATATGGGAGGAAAATTGTCTACCACGTAATGAGATGTTGAGGCCGTATGGATGTTTGGTTCCAAACCCGCTAGTTCAGGTGGCCGAACTCATTGATGCCACATCGGCTATGTGGGATAGGCAGCATGTGCAACAAGTGTTCATGCCAAAAGGATGTGCCAATTATCTTGGGAATACCTTTATGTACCATGGACACCGAGGACTTTTGGGCTTGGAATTTTGAGAGGAGCGGTGTTTTCTCTGTAAGATCCTCTTATAGAATGCTCGTGTCCACAAAAACAAAGAAGGGAGGCGTGGTTAGAAGGTACCGCCGCATCTTCAATCACAAATAATGAGAAGTCGTGGAACATGCTTTGGAAAATTCAAATGCCTGCCAAGATAAGGATGTTTCTTTGGCGATTGTCCAAGCATTCCATCCCAACAAAAGATGTCAGAGCTCACCGACATATGTCAAACTCTAGTTCATGTGGGTTGTGTGGCAGCCAAGATTCATGAAGGCATTCGCTTCTGGAGTCTACGGTAGCCAGGTGCATATGGGCTCTAGTGGATGACGATCTAGCGCAGCACCCTTGTGTTCACTACGGAGCCTCGGGGGAAGCATTGGCTATTCTCATTAATTGATGGCCTAACACATACGCAATTCATCAGAGTAGCTGTCACATTATGGGCGATATGGTCGTCTAGGAGGAAAGCAAATCATGAGGGCATTTTTCAAAGTCCACAAGCTACCCAGAGTTTCATCGATAGATACATATTGGAATTGGAGATCATAAGAGAGACGAAGCCAACACAAACTGCTAACCCAAGTGATGTACCAAGGGGCGAGAGAAGGCAGAAGGCACAGCCAGTGGGATTTGCCAAGGTACATGTAGATGCGGGCATGTCCACGCCATCAAGAGGATGCACAGCAGGAGCGGTCGCTCGCGATGATCAGGGGTACTACTTGGGAAGCTCAACACTCATAATTCATGGCGTCCATAACCCTGCAACTCTAGAAGCAGTAGCATGCAGGGAGGCCCTTTCCCTAGCCGAAGACCAACTCTTGCATAGCTTTGTAATTGCATCAGATTTCAAGCAAGTAGTAGGAGATATCCTCAAAGACAATCAAGGGAGATATGGCACCATCATTAAAGAGATTCAACAGCGATCATCTATATTTAATAGTAATTTTATTTTTGAGAGTCGTAAGTCAAACAAAGAAGCTCATAATCTAGCCAAGTTTTCGCATTTATTAGCTTTGCGACGTCATGTGTGGCTAGGGCAACCTATGACCTGAGATGTATTTCACTCTATGTGGCATTTGATCAATAAAACTTGGTTTATCCCAAAAAAAAGGGAAGTGATCTGCGCCGGCACACCGGCCCAACGGTTGGGCCGGTCCAGCCCCAGCCGTCAGATCTGGTCCCCTGCACCGTCAGATCCCTTCCTCCCCTCACCTCCTTCTTCAACCTCCCGCACGGGAAAAAGGATAGGCCCCCTCGTGCGCATCGATGCCCCAGCACGCGCCGACCGCCTCGCCTCGCCTCCTCACCACCGGTCGCCCTCGCCGTCGGTCGCCTACGGTCGCCGCCCTCGCCGCTGGTCGCCCGCCCTCACCTATGTCGTCTTCGTGTGTTTCTGAAGCCTCCGTGGATGCAGCAGCGTGCGGCCATGGTTACGGCCGGTCGAGGTTGCAGCCCGCCGCGAGCCCGTAGCAGCTCGTCGGCGACCGGTTGCAGCATCCGCCCCTGCCCCCTGTGCTGGATCTCGCTGCCGGAATTCACGGAAACCCGTGCCGGGTCGCAGCTCGGCCGTGATGGATGTAGCAAAACATTATGCCGGTTGTAGCAAAAAATGATGCTATTTGTGGCAAAACCGCGACGCCGGTTGTGTGTTGTAGCAAAACGTGACGCTAGTTGTAGCAAAATGCTATGCCAGTTGTAGCAAAAATCTATGCCGGTTGAAGCATGTAGCAAAACTGCAGCATTTTATCATCTTCTTTCACCTCCAGCCGTCGCTGGTTGAAGCTTTCTTATTTTCATAGTGTCTAGTTGTAGCTTTCTCTCTCAATGGTTGGAGCTTTTTCCAACAACCGTTGAAGCTTTTCTACCAAAAGTTGTAGCTATTTTCTTTTTTAGCAGCACTTGGTCAAGGCTTTTTGTGTCGTTTCGGTTGAAGCTTTTTTAATCGAAGGATGTAGCATTTCATGTCAACGGTTGTAGCTTTCCGGCGATGGCGCTGACCGCTTGTAGCTTTCTCTACATCCGGTTGAAGCTTTTTCATCTATGGATGAAGCTTTTTTTTAAACGGTTGCAACATGAGGGGGTGCGCCGATTCTGCAGAAGCCTCCGGTGTCGACCATCGCCGTCCGGCTCGTCGGCGGCGAGGCAGAAGCACGAGACGTGTGGGAGTTGCAACCGCCGGGGATGGGGATTGGTCAACGGGCTGCATCCAATGGCGAAACGGGCTGTAAAAAGCATGGCGGGGTGAGATCTACAACTATGGACGCGCGGGGGATTCGACCTTCCATGGCGACGGCGAGATGTGGGCGTCGGCGCTGCAGGAGATGAGGATGGGGGCGAGCTCCGCGGAGCTGCGAGACAGGAATGAAGCGAGATTCGCGAGATCCGCAGCGCCACGTGGTTGCTTGCGACTGGGTCGCGGCGTGCGCGCGTGGGCTAGACCGGCCAAAGCTTCGGCCGGTGCCCCGGCCCCAAACGTTTCCAAAAAAAAAACTTATATACGAAAAGGAGGCAGCGAGTGAAGCGCGTGGGGTTATCCAAGGACCAGGAACCTTGTCTTGCGGCTTCCACCCTTTCCCCTTTCTGTTCTTGCTCCTCCCCGGCTCAGACATTCGTGTGGCTTGCATCGAGCGGAACCCTAGATCGAGGAGCTTAACACCCTCGTCTCCGGCGCGCGCCCAAACCCTCGTCGATCTTCCGGTCGGATCGCGCCGCCCCCCTGCCTTCCCCCTCTGTCGCCGCTCTCCACGCCCAGATCACACCGACGTTTCCCCCTCCCCGGGCTCCCCCATCGCCACCGCCCTTGATCCATTCCCCGTCCCCCACCGAAGCTCCCACGATGGCAGCACTGCAGAGGCCAACAGAAAGGAGGGCGTCGAGGTGCACCCCAGTGACGGCGCCGGCCACGCTCGTGTTCGAGATCGACGGGTACAGTCTGCATAAGGGCATGGGCGCCGACAAGTTCATCCGGTCCACCGCCGTCTCCGTTGGCGGGTACGAATGGTGCATCCGCTACTACCCAGACGGGGCAGATACACACGCCAACAGCCTGGGCCACGTCTCAGTCTACCTGGAGCTCCTGAGCAAGGGTGCCAAGGTAAGGGCGCTCTACGACTTGAGGCTGGTCGACCACACCACTGGGTTGTCGTCATCGGTTTTCTCAGTCTTGAAATCCCCAATGGTGTTCGATTCCCTCAGCACCAGTGGGACCAGTTATAGTTGGGGTCTTCCATATTTTAAGAAGAAGAGTGAGCTAGAGAAGTCGGATTACCTGCGGGATGACCGTCTTGTAATTGAGTGCGATCTAACTGTCATTAAGGAACCACTTGTTGCGGACACTGCGATAACAGCTGAGGTCCAGATGCCACCCTCAGACTTGGCAGAAATTTTTGGAAAACTGCTAGAGGCGGCCGAGGAAGCAGATGTGGCATTCGAGGTTGAAGGTGAGATTTTTCCTGCACATAAGATTGTGCTCGCAGCACGGTCTCTAGTCTTCAAGGCGGAGCTGTATGGACCGATGAGAGGCAAGTGTGGACAGAACATCACCGTCGAAGAAATGCAGCCTGCTGTTTTCAAGGCATTGCTTCACTTTATCTACACAGATTCATTGCCTTCCATGGACAACCTTGATGATGATGAGAAAAAAGAAATGGTCAGGCACTTACTACTGGCTGCAGATCGGTATGCAATGGAAAGGATGAAGATGATGTGTGAAGACATTCTTTGTGAAACTCTTGATGTTGAGACTGTGGCGACAATGTTGGCTCTAGCTGATCAGCATAACTGCAGCAGGCTAAAAGATGCTTGTGCTGAATTTATCATGTCTTCAAATAGATTGGATGATGTGTTGGCAAGCCAAGGGTATGTGCACCTGAAGAAATCATGCCCTGCTGCCTCAGTAAATATCTTGGAGAGACTTATGAAGCTTCTCAAATTTTAGTGTGTCCATCCTGGGTTATAATAGATGGCTTAGTTAACATGTAGCCACCTGAGACGAGGTAGTGTATGCTTCACTTTTCACTTTCTATCTAGAGATAATTTGGAGGAGACTATCGTAGCAGATATGTTGGAGAAGGCATGGAAGTCTTAGTAACCTGTGTGCTTGGGGTGGCGCTTGCCTTGTTATGTCACTTGTTGGAACCCCCTGTTTTCGTCTCTGTTGCTGTGTGCGTCTGAGACCTTGTTGGTGTTTGTGACTATGCCGTTTCGTGGCTTTATTAATTTAAAGCCGGATGCCGCTGGCATCTTCGTTCTAAAAAAAAGTCTTAGTAATGCTCATCTTAGATTCTTGTGTCAGCTTCCGCAAGTTACTCAATACATAGCCACCTGAACTAGGCTTGTCCTTAGTTTGCAGAGATCATTGGAATCTTTCGAATATAAATAGTCTTTCATGTCCTGTAGTTTTTAAAGATATTATGGTGTCTTTTGGGGAAGAATGATCATATCTCCTGCATGTATCGATTGGATACTCATCCAATATCTGAATTTATGAACATTCACTAGTTCTTCTGAATGTTCTGTGATGATCTTCTTTTCTCGAATTTATATGCTTTCTTTGTTTTCTCTTTTTTCTAAGGTGCCAAGCTGTTTAAGCCCGATCAATTAGTACCTTTGAGAATAGTATGTGCCAGGTCACCGTATTGATACATTTGCAGGTGAAGGTTATGTTTTTTTTTTGCAGGGGAGGTTATGTTTGGAATGGTCTCCATACATAATTGATTGATCCAACAAAAATGGAATTCGTTAATACCATAGTTATGTGCAATCTTACAGGCACTTGCGAGATCTGTACAGCTAAAATCATAACATATGCAATGGTTTCTGTTCACGTTTCGTAGCGAGTGTAATGGGCCTTATGGCGTAATGGTAAACTTAAACCTGCTCGTTCAATTTGCTAAATCAAATAGCTTGTCTCAAAGTTATTTCAGGGTAGGTTTTTGGCCTAAAAATACTATTGTAAGGTGAAGAGGTGTGCCTGAATATGTCGCGAGACAAATGCGAAATTTGAGGTCGACACATGAGTTTCCATGAGGGTTGAGGGGTAGGTTCCTTGGGACCTGCTGATCTTGTTAGTTGGTGGTGTCACTGGCTTTCTTTGCTACTTGAGTCAATCATGGTCTAAACATCTTCAGTTCTCATCCATTCCTTCACAATACGCGGCAAATCGGCAATCTTATCCTTGAACATCAACAACTAACAAACCAAATACCCTGACACGCTATGTTATCCTTGTGGCATCTAATTTCTATTCGTCACTAGTTGTGAGTACCCATTTACAGATAACGGCCAAGATATGATGCCTGATGACTAGACGATGTGGCATTCTAGGGCGCAACCTTCTCGAGCTGTCGGTGCATACACAATATGGCCATATGGATGAATACTTGTGGGAACATCTCTAATGCAGGCTACTGAACCAAAGTTGCTTCTGCACATTGACTGTACATCTTGGACCATGAAATGGCCACTGCATCAAACTGCCAAGCAAAGGCGAGCGGAGTCGTATGATGGGGAGGAACATGGGACGGGATGGGAATTTAGAGATCTTTAGAAATCTTATCCTTACCCATGTAGATTAGCCTCTAGTTTCCTTTCGAGATGTCAGGTTGCAATTTCCTCGACTATGTCGGCGTGCTGTATGATGTATGCCCACTGTTACGAGAATTTATTGGGCCGGTTGGCAAACTGACCAGTACTTTGGTTCACCTGCAAGCATCGGTCCTTCTCAAGTCTACTAGAGTGCCTCCAACAAGGAAGTTGAACCATGTACCACTGCAGAGTCAAAAGTTCAGAGTGAAATCATAGCACTCTGTCCACTGCTTGAACTACTGAGACTGAAAACTGCATGTTGTCTGCACTCTGCAGTGGAATTTCAAAAGTTCAGAGTGAAATCATAGCACTGTGTTCACTGCTCGAACGACTGAAACTGAAAACTGTGTGCTGTCTACAGTGGAATTCATACGGGTAATTACTTTAGAACTACCGAAGCATCCCTTTCTCTATCTCTGCAGTGACTGGGACGCACGCACGCTTATCATCAACTTTTCTTCTCGCCGATTAGGTATTGCGTGACACGGTGATCGGGATGCCGACCCGGCCCGTGAGAAGGCGAAACCGCCACGCTGATTAGGCCTATCAGAGGTGGCTAGGTGGAATCTTTGGACGTTCAAGATACAACAAAGAAGTCGAGGCCGCCTGGCAGGGTTAGGTGGTCTGCTGACTTTGGGCGGCACCCTTCCAATCGGTAATCTGATAGCTGAAAGCGGAAAAGCAGATAGGCTATCAGAGGCAGAGGGTGATTTGGAGTTGGAGGTGCTCGAGTTCACTCAGTCTTTGTGCTGTTCCCGATCGTCCATTCCTCAATCAGGTGGGCCACCTTTCCTTTTCTTTTTTTTTGTTATTTGAACGGATGGCCACCTTTGCTGAAGCAAGGGAAAAACATTTGGGTGGCAGTAGTAGAAGAATTGATTAAAACAAGCTATAGGAAAGATCCAAAGTACACGTGAGACATGGTGCAATGATTGGAAGGAAAAAAGTTGCACAGGAGTATTGGTATGTATCATCCATCCGGGAGCTATACAGGGTCGGGTGGACCATTAGCTGCTGCCCATGCCATGCATACGACATGTACGTACAACTCAAGAGCTGGGGCGAGCTGCGAGCATTCCTGTACGTGAAGAAGCAACCATCCATCTGAACTGCACTGAGGTGGATGCATGCATCTGGTCACGTCAACACTGGGCTCCTTTACTTCTTCTTCTTTTTTGTTGATGGGAACACTGGGCTCCTTGGTTGATCATCTTGTCGAGGTTCAAACATTGCTGCGTGGAAAATCGGCTACACGGCTCTGCGTGCGTCTCGTCAACTTCTTGACTGAGCCGGCATAGGGCACACGAAAACGATCGTTCTCCCGTCGTTCCAAAGCCTTTTACGCACGTACGGCTTTGCTTCTGGGTCACATCCCAGTTGACTGACTTGCGTCCGGTCAGCACACAGCAGCTAGAGTGGGTCGATCCATAGACCTGGTCGCCGCAATAACTTCATTCGGTTGCCTGGTCCCGATGCCATTCGCTAGCTAGCGGCTGCGCCTGTTCCTGTTCATGCCCGGTACGTATACGTTACCTTGTGTACTTGCACGCAATGACTTGGCTTCGTCAAGAGCTTCCTCGCGGCTGCTGTCTAGTATTCCCCCCGTCCCATAACGTAGTAAGCACAATAGTTATATGTAAGCCGCCTGAATTTAGAGTTGCTTCAATCGATTTTTTTATTATTCTTTTGAAGCTAGGCAATAGATTTGTCATTTTTATTGATTAAGAGAGAAGTTTTAGAGGTTAAGGCCAAAGGCCGAATTACAACAATCACTCTCGCGGCATTATGTTATTCATATGTCTTGCTCCCGCAATGCTCCAAAGTAAAGTCTCCTCTTTAATCCTAGCAACGACGACTCCCACCGGAACGGCATTATTATGAAAGATTCATGCATTTCTCTCTTTCCATAACTCCCAAGGGATTAGCAGCATCAAGGAAGCAAGCGGCCTTCGCGATTGGGTCTTCTTGTTAGCATTGTGGCTCCACCATTCTTTAATGGAAGTCGCGTCACTCCAATCGAAAGGATGCACATCATGGAGACCAAGCCAATCTTTGATCTCATACGCCAAACTCTGATAGTGTATCGGCATTGGAATAGAAGGTGGGCCGCCGACTCCTGAACTTGCTTGCATAGTGGACAAAGGTTACAGTTTGGCCACCCACGACACTGCGTGAAGGAAGGAACCGGCGGAGGAATGGAAGGAGCTCACCGAAGGAAAGGGAGAAGCTTGTCAGAGAAGAATTCTGGGTCTATCTTAGGGTGGAAGACGACCCCACTATCTATCTTCGGGGTGTGGGGGTGGTGCAGGTTCGCCGGAAAGAAACTGGCCATGGCCGGGGCTGGAGGGATGGTAGGCGGCGACACTAGCACTGTGGTGGGCGACAGTTGAATGGAGGGCGGGATGGTGAGACTGACGTGGGAGCACCGTCGGCCACGGGGTGGTGGTGACTGTCGTAGTCCTAAGTCTGACAGTAGAATAGGGGGTAGGAATGGAGAGGCAAGATCCTAGCTATGGAGTAGTTATGTACACAAGGTGTTTACGAGTTCAGGCCCTTCTCGGAGGAAGTAACAGCCCTACGCCTCGGAGCCCGGAGTCGGTCGACTGGATTATATGCGTATGAATTACAGGGGTGCAAACCCTTTACACTGAGGAGGGGGTGGCTTATATAGAGTTCGCCAGACCCCTCCGGCCCTCAGTTATGTAGGGTTTAAAGTACATTAAGGTCTGGCGTTACTGGTAACGCCATACATAAAATGCTATCATGACCATAAAGACTACTTAATGACAAACCGTTTGTGTGCAGAGTGACTCTAGATCTCCTGTCGGTCGAGTGAGTGGCTTCATGGTCGAGTGTTTTCGAGTACGTCGAGTGAAATCCTTCCAGGTCGACTGAAAGGTAGTTTCTTCTAGAGATGTCTTTGGGGAGGGTACCTTGGATAGAGCCATGACCCTACCCTAGGTACATGGCTTCATCATTAGCCCCCGAATGGATCGAGGTTTGAGTGAGGAACGAGTTGAGAATTCTTCAGACCCATCCTTTGTGCTATGAGTACGTCTTGTTCTGGATCAATGACCTTAGGTGACGGTACCAACTTCTTTTACAGTCGCCTTGATCCATTCTTTGTATTGGTCGAGTGACTTTTCTATACTTGGAGATCTCCGAGCGACGGATCAGAGGAAATCTCCAGTCTGACAAGTTGCTCTGTTGTTCGCGAATTTAGCGGGATCTGAATTTCGGGAAGCGCGTGAGGCGGAGGAAGCCGTAGTACTCGGATGGGATAAGGCAGGGACGCCTCGATTTTTGCGCCACCTTTTTCGCCACGTATCGCGCGCGCGACTGTTGTGGGAT